GTTTCAGATAGCTAGGCGAAAAGTTGTATTTTTGCGACAGTTCTTCCAACCCTTTTGCCTTTTTTGCTGCTTGTTTTAAAGGGACAAACGAGGTGTCCCAAAGACTGAGATAGTCCTCGAGATCTTTGTACAGGCCAAATTGATGACTTTCTGAGAGTTACTGTTCTACGTCGAATTAAGGCCCATCTTCACCGCCCGCCATGTTTTTGTTTTGTTTTTGCCGCGTTGCCGCGATTCGCGACAGCCAATCACAAGCGTTGAATTCAAAATTGTTGGGAGACAAGTTGTAGCTTCAGTGGTAATACGAGCAGCAAAACTAAAATTTGTTGCAGAAAGTAGAACTCAAGTCTACTTTGCGCAACATGTTGCCTCAACTTGCAACACTGTATTTTGCTGCGAGACAAATTGGTAACAAACGTGGTAATACGCGCAACAATGTGTTTCCACTTGCAATGAAACAATGTTGCGAGACAAGTTGAAGAAAAATGTTGCCCGTATTACCGGACCGTAAGGTAAGGTCACTTTATTTGAAGTCGTAAACGTAGGGAGTGGTTGTCCATTCTCCCTGGCTCATGACAAAAACGGACGACTATTTAAAATAACTTTACTATTTACAATAACTAAATTAGTTAAAATAAATCCGGAATTAAAATATAAATACTCCTGAAAGCAACTATTCTTCCTTGTCTGGAAATGATCAAATCCCCGACACTCCTAAGTATATTGTAACCCCAATCAGGAGCAATAGTTGTTTGCATTTTGCATTTTCTTTATTGAATCATAGTGAAATGGAAAGGATGCGTGCGTCCAGAAGTACACCACCGACTGCAGCTGTAGAACAGCAATCCATGGTTGAAAATGAAGTAAGAAACTTGTTAGTGGTGCTATTGAGGTGGATTTTCCAAAGCCCAATGTACACACTACAGTACAATTCTGCCATGCTAAACTTGCAACGTATATTACGTTCTTAATAAAATAATGTAGAAATTATCTCTTTCACACTACACTTAGAAATTGCCGAACGATTTTGTTGAAACATCCTCTGAATGTTTTCTACCAAGCACTGTTTCGAAAAAATACAATACAAGTACAGGTTACCATACTTGCAAATGAGCGTTATTTCATCATTTTACGTAACATTTTGTGGTAGCTGGAAGCGAAGTTTTTTTAAAAAAGAAATACGCAATAAATTTAAAAAAACTTGATGAGTAGAAAGTCTCGAAAACATCTCTGAAATGTTTCTCGGGTCGCTGTTTTCAGGGTCATAATTTGCATCCTCGAGTAACGGTTTTGTGAACGCTTTTTGCTATAACGTTTTTTTCCTTCCCAACAATTTTTTAAATTTTCTTTTAACTTAAAGATGATAAAATGTACACCACAATTATGTTATAAAAATGTAGGTCATAATATTCGTTACAGGCTTGACTATATCGCTTGACTATATCGCACAGTTGTACATGAAAATATTTTTCATCTTTCCCCGACCAGTCAGTCCCTTTATAGAATATACTATGAAATTAATTATTGTTGGTGTTGCTATTATGAGAAACATTTTATTCCCTCTATTTCACAGATGCTTTGGAGCGGAGACAGATTTTAAGAGGTTACGGAGATAGATTTTAAGAGGTTAGGTAACCATTTTATGCACTCTCTGAGTTTCATCGATGAACAAAATGCAAAATGAATAACATGCCTGTCCTTTCCCTTATGTATGAATACATATAGGGTGGATTAATTGTTTGCGAAAAAATACAATACAATTCGAAATACATTCACTGCACTACAATACATTCTCTGAATAAAGTTGATTGATTGATTGATTGATTGATTGATTGATCGATCGATCGATTGATTGATTGATTGACTGATTTATTGAATGAACTTTTCGCTTTCTCGAGCGGACTGTCTCGATTTGCGACAGTTAGTCTGAAAGAACTGTACGAAAATCGGTACAAGTAAAAGAATCACCATTGTTGTCGGACTAAACCATGCCATTTAAGCTAATTGTTGACTTCTTTTATTCTCAGATGCCGTGGTTCGTGATGACACAAAGCGTTATTCATGACAAAAGTCGTGAATTTTGTTCTTTTTTTGCTATTTTGTAGTTTCATAAAGAGACGAACAGGCTGGCAGAGTGCTCAACGGAATTTCGTCCTGTCAATTTTAAGCGAAAAACCTTGTTTAAACGTGTATTGAAAACTTTTATTCTGACCGTTATGTAGTTTAAACCGACAGCAAGGTAGTTTTCTATTTGTCGAAAACAAACAAACAAACAACAAATATCTTTCTGAAGGGCCACAAATCACTTTATTTCTGTTTACTGGGCACAGGAAACGAACTTGAAACTTTCTTGAAATTTTCCTCAGTCTCTTTGAGTGCATTATTCAGACTCTTTCAGTTCCTCTCTCAGATCATTACTATGTCCTGAAGACATTTATTTTGCACTTTTCCTGTGACCACCTTAATTCAAATAAAGACATCTTTGAAAACAGGTTGTGTAATGTTCAAAAGAAATACGTGTATATGACAAATGTTCGTTGTTTACAACAGTGCTCTGTGTGAAAATCAAAAAGCGTCCTAGACAGGACATCTGTTTCCCCGAAAAAGCTTACAGGAATATTATATTCTCAGGAAAATTAAACGTTCCTGAAAACTATCAAAAGGCCCTTTGGGCAATCTCACACAACTACTATCTCTTCCCGTCATGCATTGGAGGTTACTGGTCCCTCTTTGTTAACCGTTAGGCTACTGTTCCTCACTCATCCCTGCAAAAACCCGGGAACGTCTGATCGTGGGTGAAGGAAGAACAGGCGCTGTAACCAAATGATTAGCGCGCTGGCCGGACTCTGAATCGAGCGGTCCAGTTTCGAACACTAACCGGTATCATTGTGTTGTGTTCTTAAGCAAGACACAGGACAGGAGTATAAATGGGCACCGGCCACTTGTTGGGATAACCTAACAAAATACTGACCGGTAGCCAGCGATGGATTTGCATCCCATCTGGGGGGAGTAGCAATATTCCTAGCCGCTTCATGCTACAGAAAACGGAGTTTGAGCCGGTTGGGCTTAACACGGTGGCCCCAAGTCGCGACAACCTCGTCGTGGTTGTATTCGTTTTCACCTTGCTTAAAAGCCTTGACTTCAAAACAATGAATCGGAGCCATAATACGCGGAGTTTGAAGAGCTGTCGGTAATCGTAATTCGGATCTATATTTCGGTTTCTTTTCTCCTCTTCACCTTCACCTTCACCAAAAAGTTAAAGAAGTGTTTCGTGATCGACCTCGCAAAAACTTCAGAA